TATAGGCTTTATTGATGTTTTAATTTTAACTGAGTAAAATAATAGGATTGTAACTCGTTTTAAAATTAAAAACCTATAAAGGCTTAATACGTTTCTAATATATCTCTCAGATCGTTCTATTTCGCACGTGGATCATGAGTGAGAAAACAAATATAGGTAGTGTGCATTAGTGTACTGAAGCACCGTAATATTCATCCGTTTAAGACGACCATCGTACACGGTGATTTAATTACAATATAATGTTCACATACTTATTATTATATTGATGTAGATACATATTATTGTAACATATATTTGTATTTGCACGCCAAATCGGTGCGTTAGATTGATATAAAAAAAAAAAAAATGTATAAAAAACACAACTCGTCATTCCGGACGTTCCGGCGTTAAATCTCGGCAAATATAGGTTACTCTGCATACTATAATATTATACCTACGTGTCTATACGTATATCGTCCTCTCCAAACACCGAAATAAATTGATATTGCCACAATATACGAGGTACTTTTTCAGCTGGTTTTCGAAAAGCAATAATCGTAAATTATACGCGTACCTGTTTACATATTATACTATACTTAATATTTATAATAATATTATACCTAATACCCATTACTACATAAAGTGTGGATAAATAAAATCCGTAAGAACACGTACTGTGATAAGTTATTATTTACAAGCGTCGACCGTCGTAGAAGGGGTATGCCGCGCAAAACGTGCAGCGTAGGTTTGCATATTACGATAATATTTTTCATAATATTATTATTATCGTAACGCAGTCGCAATCAGTATATTTCTCGTGATCGTGGAGTGGTGTTTTTCGCGCGGTCCCCGTAGACTTAAACGATTTTGCCAATACGCGCAGTGTTTCTCTCGAGCCGTTCTCGTTTCCACTGCAGTCATTGCCAATCAAATATCATTCAAGATTGTAAACAGCACGCCGTATTCGGAAACGACAAGGTAGGTACTAAATTATTTTTACAATTATAATTTCACTTATATAATTGTTATATATTTACCTATACCCATATAATGGCATTTGTGTTAATAATGAATTTATTTTACATKATTTATATTATTATTTATTACGATTTATCAGATCAGTGTGTACCTGTACCTATACGCTAGTATGCTAACGTATAATTTTGCATATTATTATTAATTTTATTTAAAGTATAAACAAAATAATAACATAATATATTATTTTATGCGTCTTAAATGGTGTTTTAATAATGGTAAGACTAATTGTTTCTGGTAAACGATCACAAATATAATTATTAGATATTTATATTAAACGTATAAAATATTTTACAAGACGAATAATGTATAGAAACGTAGACAGACGTGTGTTTTGGTTCGAGAATGTTTTTCTTAAATTTTTTTTGTAAATGCTGCAATCAACTATATACATATTATAATGTATAAGTAAGATTCTGATTGAACATTTGCATATTATTTTCTAGTGTATCGTATTATTGTATACATAACTGTATAACTATCCCACTCGGTGTTGCCCGTGTTAAATATTTGTTTTTTAATAAATACATTTCTGAGAAAAATGTATGTAGGTACCTATTTCCATTTTCTAATGATTCAAGTATTAATATAATGTGTAACCAATGGCAACCATTTAAATAAATAAATTCTTTTGTCATGAGTTGAAAAAACTGTATGTGTGAGCTACTCTTTAGTTTCCGTYTGGAGTTGGAAAATAAGGATAAACACCATCTAAGTCTTAAGAAATCTATATTGATGTAATTATTATTGAAAACGGTCTAGTAGTTATAGAATCTATAAATTACAAGCAGACAGATACCAACATTCATTTTTATAATATATAGATACATTATATGTTTATTTATACAATAAAAATACCCACTATAAATAACAATAATAATAATAATAATAGTCGTGAACTCGTACAAATACCTATTATACGTTTCTTATGAACGTTTACAGAAATATTCAAGCCGGTATGGAATTTCAAAATTGTTCGAGATTTTATGGTATATTTCATATTTTTATCATAATAGGTTCATTTCATTTTCATGTATTTTGTTGGTTTGTATGTAAACATAACGTTATCTTACATTTACATGTATGAGCATGTCTATTGTCTACTATCTTTATCAAAACAAAATAAATCGATAAATTATATTATAATTATAATTTACCTATTTGTAGTAATTTGTATATTGCGTGCATTAATATGTTATATTACATTACATTAAGCAAATTTATTAACTATTTAATAATAATAACAGTAACTTAAATGTATGGAATTCACAATAAATGATAGTCAAAGACTACAGTAATTTWAAAAAAAAATKTTACAAGTAATCGAAACACGTGAGAGTAAAAATAGATTAAAAGACTAAAGAGAAAAGAAATGAAAAATCATTTAATGCATATTAAATTGATGAATCTCAATACATATACGCGCTTTCCAATAAATATATAAATAAATAATTACAAATTAGAATTTGGAGATAATTTTAAGATACTAGCTGGATCAAAAGAGATCAATTTGAACTTTTAGGGTAACAATTTAATAAAATGATATCGAAAAGGACAAAATTATTATAATTTTGTTTTTTGGTTATTCGTAAAATATGACGGAAGGAAGGGTGAATATAGTATCTGCTGAGATATGAACTCTGCAGGACAATGAATTAAATCATTTAATAATTTGTATAAGGAAAAAATATTATTTTACATTTAAACTGTCTATCTACGAGGAAATAAAGGTTTAATTTCTAGCTAATTCATTTGTACGTTCTTAACATACATTTAAAGGTAGCTAATTTTTAATTCAATGATAAAATGTATTTATAGTCCAATGTAAAAAAAAGTCATATGTTTAAAAAAAATTCTATTATTATTAGGTAATATGTACCTATACTTAACAATACATTAGACAATCAAAAAGTGAAATAGAATATTTTAGATATCTATATAAACCTATATCAAAATATAACATAGATTAATATATTATGTTTCATATTTCTAAATGCATTTTTTAAATTTTTGAAGTCCAACAGTAATAATTATTCAATCTGAAATTAACAATAACAACAAAAATACCACTTTTCAATCTATTTATTCTCTTGACCCACAATAATATTATTAGGTTTGCTTACCTGTTGGTGTACAGCTGGTACCTACAATGGTACAGTTTTTTCTTATGATATTTAATAAATCAATTGTACAAGTAGAACGAATCAATTATATCAGTGTACGCACCGTACTACCTTCATACTATGTGTGTGTCCCGCTAAAAAACAAGTAGTCATTACGCAAACGTGTAAATTGGTGAATTTGGAAATATGTGCAGTTACGACACACTCGAACTAATTGTACGTACCTAATAAATAATAATAATTAGATTTATAATATAATATAATAGTAAAATGTCTAAACATTTGATACCYACGTTATCGTTCAATGCATATCCGCCAAGCGCAAAAATCATCACGGTCACAAGGTGTAATTAAACCACCTGTAAGTGCTTACTGCTTATTTCATTTCAATATTGTTGTTGTGGTGTTACTTCGGTTACGATGAAATAGATCGATTTCGAAAATGAAGACACGGACAATTATAAAATCTTTTATTTATTTAAATATATTCAATTTGCTCACAACAAAAACAATGAGAAATAAGGTTGACAATAGTATATATAAAAAATAACATAATGAAATCTTTATGACAATACAAGATACACGTTTGTCATACACCATAATACCTATTATTAAATATTATTCTTATAAGTTATGAACACAAAATTTATTTTGACATTCGAAAATTCACACCTACGATAATACATTTTAATCTCTCGGTGATGCCGTAGTTAAACAAATTTTCGTCCATCGAAAATCTCGTAGAAGTTCAAGACAAAAACAATTCATTTTGATATTTACCTGTGCCGACTGTACCAATACTTTTTCCATACCTGTGTAATACACTCTGGGTGATTTGAAGTAAAATAATTTAGCCCGAACACGAAACAAATCCACTCGACTCTCGGCAATAATATTTGAAGTTATTTCGCCGTGATCATTAAAAATGCAATGTTATTCRTTTTAATAGTATAGTTAATAACTAACAATTTATTACAAACAAAAGCTACGTTATTAGCTCGTTTATTCTTCGCGGACACCATCGAATTATTAATGAGCATATTATATACATATATATTTTTAATAGTTTTTTTTTTTTTTATCCTCGTATCTTATCGTATTTTTAATATGATGAGGTGATAAAAAAAAATTGATGAGACCTGCAAGGCTATCGACATCATTGTTGTATATTATTAATTGTATCGTTTGTGTTGAATTATAATACACTATATAGATWTACAGCAAACATCACATAAAAGTACATATTTTGCACATTACTGCTGACATGTATATGAGAGATAAGTGTATTTAGGTATATTTAGGTAAATAATGTTTAAATTTTTCATGACTTCGTGGTAATTCGAATTTTGTTGTTTGTTCTTTAAATATCTCAAAACCGTGTATAAGCATTAAGCAATAATCACTCGATGATTCAAAGTTGCTCATAAGTCTCCCCAACTTCAGAAACAATACACCGATTGTCAACTGTACCAATTTTATTATAACTCATATAGGTAGGTACATTAATACGATCGACCACTATAATTTTTTTTCCGTAAGCGAATGTTCAGCAAAATAAATTAAAAATATAAGTACATATATCATGTATATGGATCATATATACTTTTTTTTTATATATATAAATAAATGTATTTACAATCTGTAATATAATAAAAACAATAAGTAAATTTGAGATTTTTTTACAAGGTTTGGAGACTTGAGTGAAGGATGTGTCTATTGACACTACTCTTCAAACTGGTTTTTTTTTTTTTTTAATATCTACTTTAAAATATATTTTTAACTATGTATAAGGCCATATTAAATGTCTGTATCACTCTACTCGAATATCGTTTATTTATTATAATTAATTTAAACGTGTCGACGTTGATTCCATTACCTACATTAACAACGTTCGTTCATTGATAAACGTTTTACGCGTGTTTATCGCGTACGTCACGTGCTGACAATCGAATTGGCCATCGCGGTGATTCATGTGCCGCGGAATCACATAACCGATCTCCCCCACGAAATCACTATGGATATTGGATAATATATAGGTGTAAACCTATATTGACAATACCATATCCCTCCTCGTCGCAAAACGTTATGTAAATTACGGGAAACAGACGATAACTGCAGCGTGGTGCGTATATTACCATTATTGTTGTTATTGTATGATAATWATATAATGTCAATGGTAATAATAATAGTAACAGCTATTGCCACGCAGTAAACGACCAGCAGCGTGCAGCGATGGAAACTGCGAGTTTTCTACAGTGGCGGAAATTACAAAAATACAATGAATAATGCGTTGGTATACTATATACAATATAATATAATAGTATTATAAAAGTTAGAAGACGAAACACAACATATATTGTGCGTACATAAGTACTTGTAATTATTGCCATAGTCGACAGACGATTTTTTTGCGCCTACAACACTATACATATGACTTTTATATGGGTGTTTAATTTCGATTTTTGCACTTTGTGTTTTTTATCATCGCCACGGCCAAGGCGAAATTTTATAATATTTAACATGATGAACACCTCTATACCTATATAATATATCCTCGCCGCGTTGATCTTAATCATCTGCCCTCACRGTGTCTATCGAGTAATCATCATATTGTTTCACCGTACGCAAGTATAATAATAGGTAAGATWGGTATAATGGAGCAGCATATAAGATTAAATAATAAAACATTGATCTCTGACCGAGACCTTGGCGCTTAATTTGTTTCGGGTGACCGTGAACGGATGAGGAGTGCATAATGCGTACCTATGAATTATGATACACTGATGATAATAGGTATATTGTTGTTTCCTCCGCGCGTTTTGCACATTAAAAGCTACACGACACCGATGATTCGACGGGAATTCGGAAGTTTAGTGACGATTTGAACGGCGGCACACGTCGCAATATCATTCTGATCATATTGTTATTTTGATTTTTTTTTTTTTTTACAGACGTATATAACGAGCATCAGAAAAAAATCCGATCTCCATTATAATAATAATACAATCATGCGATCTACGGGTTTGATTCCTGCGATTACCGCGGCGAAGTTATTATAATAGTGATTTCTCAGTGATACAATCATAACATCATGCACATCAAACTCAACGTTCCGCCGGTCTTCAAACAGGTAATGTATCAATACGGAACTTAATGGAAACTTGTACTAAAATTATATACATACATCAGCAAATTACTATCTGCGGTTAAGATAGCCAGCATGCCGGCTCATTATTATTTTGTGACCGTGATTAGAAGTTGTGGATATAAGACAGTAATACTTCCTCACTGCAGCAGTAGGTCCAGGGGAAGACGAAAAATAAATACATAAAAATGCGTTTAATACTAAATTAYGTTCTTAGCGTGCCAACCGTCWTAATAATTGATTATTGGTACACATCGTACATAATAGGTTACAGATACAACAACAACACTRTCCATGATGTACACGCGTTTTAGTATAGATATTAAAGTTCTTCAACTATTTGTTTGGTTAAGGTTGACCCTAGTCAATTAATCATAAACATTTAAACTTTTCCAACAGTCATGGGTTTAAATTATCGTATAAAAAATCATTCTGCTGTTCGCGCATACACAAATCTAATGACATCGAACTCTGACTAAAATTGGGTGGAGGCAATTAAGTGTATATATTCATACATCGGAATTTAGTGTTTGTTTTGTATATCGGTGTTTGCTGTCAAGTCAAATAATGAAACTCTTCACAAACTATAATATTTTAAACATGACACACCCAAATATTGCACACAATCGCAGACACAATAAACCACCATAATGCGATCTACATCATGTTTTTTCTAGTAAATGTTATAGTGGCTATTCATCTAGTGTTTTCAATCAAAATCGTCCAATAAAATCATAGGTATAAAAACCTATACACGTTGCATACTTGTATTAGGTACATTTATATTTTGCGAAATACGTAATGATATATCATATTGGATATATTAGCTATGTACGTTTAAAAAAAAACTAGAAATCCTTCAAACGAGCCTAAATGATCCTTCGATGCAAACAATATTTATTTTTTTCATACTTCCTGATTAGTGAYTTCGATATTTATTATAATATGCAATTTATCGTGAATTGTAATATTAGTACTAAGCACTTACTCGTATATTGCATATATGATTTTTGGGATTCAATACACCAAAATTTTTTCAATACAAATGTTTTTATTATATCATTATATGCATATGTTACCGTAAATGCCCGATCACTATAGGTAAACTTAGGTTTTACTAGTTAATGCTAGGTTTTACTGTTTGTACTCAGTAAATACTGACATTCTTAATTTTATTCGGACTTTTACTAAACACGTTGTGTACATCCTAGGATATACAAATAATTGACTTAGTAAAAGCTGATCAATACACGACACATAACATTTAAGCGATAAGCTGCATAAAAATTATAATTCTATATTATTACAACAAACTATTGACAGTTATTTAAATTTCTATACAAAAAAAAAATACATTTAAAATTCCATAATGTGCAAACAAATAAAAATTTTAAATAATTATTTTTAACAACCCACCTGCAATTTTACTAATTTGTATGAATAAATAAATAATTATTCTGTTTTTAAATGCATTTTTATTTTGTATAACAATTGTTGCCATATGACTTACCCCGCTGTCACAAATGATAAATTTAAAATAAAAAGATAAATATAATATTAAAAGGTTCGAAACATAATGAAGTGTAGATCATTAAAACTGTACGAACTTATGACTCCGCATTGAATATTAAAATAGAGATTTAGTTGTATTATACTATATTATGAATCATAATTTATGATATACCTACATCAATTTTATAGTTAATTTTTGTTTTTATTTGTCAACATTTTTTTTTTTGTTACCATCTATAGTAAAAGTTATGCGTATAACATATTTTATGAGTATATGACATATAGTTACAATTATAGTAGATATTATATACTCTAAGCATAATCAAGGTGAATCTTTTGAAGGTAAGCAATAAGCACTTATATTCTCAAAAAAAATTGTCGAAAATATTTTTTTCGCAACTTTAAGTAATTAAAAATAACATTTGTAAAAAAATATTTATAATTAAAAAAAAAAATTCAATTGTTAAGTAGGTATACAATCTTTCAATTTTCTTTTCTTTTTTTTTTTTGAACGAAATTATATGAAAATAAATTTTTCCGATAACATTCATATTATACAGGTACCTAATAATATGAATTATTTAAGAGTACCTATCTCARATTTCAGTTATAGCAAAACGCGTTTAAGCGTGAGTCTTATAACAATAGTTATATATATATATGTATCGTAATATTCTTAGATGAATATAATAGCATAATATGACGTATATTGAATAACTATTCGCTCGACAGATGTTCGCTGCATCCGGACCTCTGATTGTGACGCTCGGTTCTGGGATGACCGTCGGGTTTTCGGCTGTACTGTTACCACAGCTCAAGGACCACCAATCGACCATCAAAATCAGCAGCCATCAAGAGTCGTGGATAGGTGAGCTATGAAATATAATTATAGATAAGTTTCAGAACGTGTGCCCCGTACCAGTAGTGCATATTTAAGCAGAGCGCCCTTGGTATATATACCTGTGGGAATTCGTATTTCGGTGAGGGAATGCTGAAAATTTTAAGATTTAAAAAGGGGAGAGCCAAAAACCCGGAAAATGTAATTTATTATTCATACTAATCCGATATATCATGACGATGGGTGGTCCATAATAATAACTAATAAGGCTTGTTTATACAAATTATACGCATCACAGTAGCAACGTGTAGTATTTCTAAATTTAATACATTTATTATAATAACATACGGGTAAAATAAAAAATAAATGTAAAGTATAATGAAATATAAAAATCTCAAAACGGATAGGACGTATGGGTGGTGATATTATATTGCTTATTATATTAAATCACTTATCACAAATTATATTATTATTATTATTAAAATTATTCTTGATTTATAATCACATGACATTGGCAAAACGGAAATTTTCAAAAATTTTCAATTATATAATTGATTGTCTATACTGTTACAAAAATAACAACAATATATGATAACGATTATTTTTGCATCGATATAATACTGTCACATAATATTTGAGTTTATGTAATCTCTCATCTCTGTGAATGTATCCACACGAAAAGATAAATCATAAAGTCACGGTTATATTAACGTTTGCAAATAAACTGAAAAGTACGAAAAATTTAGTATAATATAGTGGGTCGTACGTAATGACAGAACTTACGTAGGTATTAGACATATTATTTAAAAATTATTTCTCTACATAAGTTTTAATTTAGGAAAATGTGTGACTACCATAATATGGTGTTATACAATAATAGGTATGTAGCCAAAGTATTAGTGTATGTACACTGAATTATTAATGTACACAGAGTGTAATAGAAATAGATATATGACAAAATATGAAACATATAAAAGATATGATATTCTGTCATATCTTTCTGTTACACACTGTATATTGTAGAATCCTCCAAGTCCTCAAAACTCTTTTCATCGGCCCCTATAATAAATTACATACATGCCTAGTACCTATATATGTATATAACATTATATTTGGTTCATTATTACAAGTACGTCATTATTATAGCCGATGCAACTGATGCAACGAAGTGCGCTCTGCTGTATAATTAAATACCACCATCACGCGTATGCACTACATTATACAGGTATAGGTATAAGCTGCAGATGGATTAACTGTCCGGTTGTATACCTGTGTTTGCACTACGCGCATATAATATAATAGGTATGTCTGGATGGGGTAGAAAATCAAAACTTTATCACTCGAACGGGAATGGCTTACGCACAAATCGGTTTAACCGTAAATGTATATGTGTAATATCGGTATTTTCAACGCAGGTCGGCATAAGCTATCATTTAGTAGCAGTGGCCAATCGACTGACGAAGCGATATTTCGATTAATCGTGCGCAGACTCCACCGGCAAGGTGTATGCAAAATAAAATATTGTTCCTTTTCGTTTTGAAACAGAAAAAAGAAATGAAACGTGATATAATAAAAATACAAATCATCGCCATTAAAATCTAAACATATTTGTTTCCTAATATTTAATAACTTTTTATAAAAATACATAGTGAATTTAAGCGTCTTTAACTTGAAATTTCCATGTTCTATGGCAAATTTTCATAATTTTAATAAGTACTGCTGAGTTCATAGCGAAAAAATATGATATTTATACGAATCACTACTTTGGTGTTGCTGTATCCGGTGTATACGATGTATAGGTACGCTTGCGCTCACCCAATGGCCAACTATATACATTATAGGTACTATAATTACAAATTACCAACAACTAACTATGGTAAATTGGTAACGTCTAACGATAGATAAATATTGTTGGTTAGACGTTAGAGCAATCAGCAATCGCGTTCCCGATACCAACCAGCGTAACGCGTCATTTAACTTACTAAAAGTCGAATTGATTTTTCGAAAAATGCACTCATTTAATGATGGTGATATTTATGATATACCATATTATAATAAGTTAATTTAAAACTTTTCGTATCCAGGCCAACTATAATTTTTTATGTATTTTTATTATTTGTAAAATGCCTACATTTCAAATGTTTATATATTATAATAGGTAATTTGTCATCAAACTTGATTTAATTTATTCATAGGTATATGTTATAAACTATTTTTTATATTTTATTACAATAACCGTATACGTCATAGCTTAATACTTTCCTACGAATAAAGCCTTTAGCCGTATTATGATATATTATTCATTAACAATTATGATAAAAAATCACAAAATATATAATTAAATATCTAAATCTAGGAAACATAGCAATACGAATGGATGAAAGCAATGAAAATTGAAAATGGCTCCTCCATAATCAAAAGTCACCTAACGCAGAGTTCGGCAACTTTTTTGATATCAGAAGCTAAAAAATATGAATATAACATATTTCAAAGGCCACACCCACAATTTGGATATACCTTATTTTACTTTAACAGTTTAAACTGAAATGTATAATCATTTCAAATTTAGTTTAATAACTGCAGTTAATCATGCTGTTCCACCGCACAAGCTTTAATTTTTGATTTTCGGAGCACTAGCCTAATTATTCACGTAGTACCTACACGGCTGTTACGTTTATCCCTGAAATACGGTCCTTGCCGACTGTGAATGGGAATGACAATATTAAAATTATAACCAAAGCATTTTTTTTTCTCGCAGCCAGCATGGCAGCGCTACCGATGGCCGCGGGCAGCGTGCTGGGTGGCGTAGCCATGGACAGGCTGGGCCGGAAGACTACCAACCTGCTCATCTGCGTGCCGTTCGTGCTGGGCTGGACGGCCGTGTCGATGGCCACCGGCGTGACTGGTGTGTACGCAGGCCGACTGCTGACGGGCCTGAGCACCGGCCTACTTGGCCCGCCAACGGCCGTATACATTGCCGAGGTGACAGAACAGCGTTACCGGGGCGCAGCGCTGGCCATGATCTCGTTCTCGGTGTCGGCCGGTATACTAGTCGTGCACACGATGGGCACGTTCCTCGGCTGGCGGCTGGTGTCAGCTTTGTGCTCCACCGTGCCGTTCACCGGCTATGCGCTCATATGGTTCACGCCCGAATCGCCTGTCTGGCTGCGTGAAAACGAGGACAGGCGCCGCCGCGTCCGTCAATCCTCAGCAGTCTGCAGCGACCACGCGATTGCCGGTGTACCGCCGCGGCCACCGCCGGAAGTCGACTCGCAGCCGCCAGTACCGGCCGTCAAGCCGACGGCACGCCAGTGCTTCAGTAGGCCGTCGTTTCTAGGGCCGTTGGTCGTACTGTCCACGTTCTTCTTCGTCCAACAGTTCTCGGGTGTCAACGCGGTGGCCTTCTACTCGGTGACACTGCTCAAGCGTGTTGGGCCAGATCTCAACGAGTACCACTGCACCATGGCCTTGGACATAATTCGGCTGGCCGTGTCCGTGCTGGCCTGTGGCCTGACAAAGCGATACGGCCGTCGTCCGCTGGCGGTCGTTTCAGCCGTAGGCACCTGCGCGTCTCTGATTTGCCTGGCCTCATCGGTCCGCGACGCAGGAGCACCTGCAACCGCAGGGAGCGTGGCCGTCCATGCGGTCCCGGCACCAGCGGCCACCGCTAGCCTGACCCCCGTCCTGTCCATCGTTGCGTACATGGTGTTCGTCAATATCGGGTTGGTGCCGTTGCCTTGGATCATGTCCGGCGAGGTAAGCAATGGCATTACGGTCGTCATACTTAATATAAATTTTGTGTTATATACACTTGTACTCAATAATCAGCACATAACAGCAAGTCTGAGTAATTAACGAGTTAAAAATAGAATGAATGGATGACGAGAAACTTCTTTACAGAGGCTAAAAACAAAAGTTATCACCCATCATGATGGTCAATTTTTAGGTCAGTTTTTAAAATATAAAATGCTCAATTGAAATTAACTTATTATTATTATTACACAAAGATAAGACAAATGGATTATTATTTATTACCATAGAAAGGTAGGTAAGCTACGCAAATTAAGCTTTTTGGTTACAGCGGCTTAGGTAATCCGCCAAAAGAAGTTTCACTTCAAATATTAAAGTTTATTTATTTTTTTAACTAATAATTTAAAATCTAATTATCGATTAAAATATTATCCATCTTTATATTTTAAACTTATATTGCCAATATCATTACTATTATCATAATTTATTATTATATTTTATTAAGACTTAGTTATACAGTATAACATATACAGAACTGCTATTACAGTCTATCACCACACAACCCATTTAATTTTACAGACAGTAAAATCTAAAAAAAAAGTTCATACTAACATTTTATAGTTTTATTCAATAAATTAATTTTTATTTCAATCCTCATTTGATATATTTTATCTGTTTTTACCGAATTAAAATAACGACGTTTGTGTGCAAATCATCGTATACGTTTGGWTTAAACACAAGTCATGTTTGAATTAMACTCATTTTACTTATTCCAAAACAACCGTAAATATTAATTTTACTTGAMAATTGCATATTATATCATTGAACGACCTTATAACAAAATGTAAATATGCAATTTAAAAATAATTGTGGGCACCTATAAATTATTTTCATATTATTATTTTTAAGCTATGACTATCTATATATAATATTTCAATGGTATTTATTTATTCAAACATCTTTTTTAAAAAAACGAGTTATTTTATACTACCGTTTCTTAATTAGTTTTAAAAAAGCCATATTTTACTTTCGATATTGCAGCTACAATAAATACATATGTCATTATTAAAATTAAAATAATACAATTTAAACATACGTTACCCACCCCGTAGGTCACAATAGTTTTATCGTAAACCGTTATCGTTTTGTAGATGTTTCCGGGATATTGCCGAGAACTCGGCAGCGGCCTGTCCACGTGCTTCGGGTTCGTCATGTTCTACGTGGTGATCCAAATCAGCCCTTATCTGCTGACCAACATCGGCACGGCGATGACGTTTTACATTTTCGGCACCGTGGCCGGCGTCGGTGCGATATTCCTCTATCTATGTCTTCCGGAAACCAAAAACAAATCAATGGAAGATGCGACGTGACGAATCGCTTGATCAACGGCAATAACGGTCCTATACATGAATTATGCACAACGTTGTCAAATCATTTCTGGATGGAAACGCGGACGACATCATTTTACGTTTTTATCGTTTGGCCGGGAGATCTCGCCCKGTGTGGTTATGCCGTTCAAATCGTTAGAAATAATATTGATAGTAGTGTGATACCTATTTTGATTGAATTTTAGCCGATCGTTTAATAAATACATTAACGATCTTAATTATTAAAAAATAATATTATATTATTATTAGCACCTTTTAGTGTTATATTTACCTCACATTTTGTGATATTATATTATKTTCGAATTCTTAAAACAGTCGATCACAGTAAAATAGAATATAAAATAATGTGCATGTGATAGTTTTTAGTAAACATTATAACTACATAGTACTATGATCCCTAAGTATGGAATGTCATTATTRTATAAATAATATACGTACTATTAAATGTACTATTATATAAATTACCAGTGTTGTACATTGCGCCATTGCCTATTTATATCTTTATCTATCTGTAAATAAAATTATAATCCGAGTATTCCGAAATAAATAAAATTACTTTAATCATTTTTTGTGACAAGATTTTCAATTTTAGTTTTTTAAGAAAAAGTTGTTGTATGATAGATGTTAATTTTTTTAAGGTATAATAGGCAACAGCCTATTTATAAAACTTTATTTTCATGTTCATTAAGTTATTTTATATACATTTATTTTTATTGCAAGTACTTTACTGCAGTTATTTTGTAATTGTAATATAATTTTATTGTCCATTGTCTACAAACCACTGATGGGTAATCGTATGTAAAACACCAGTATTTACAAAAGTATAAGACAAGTGTAACTCTTGTGTATATTATATTATTATATTGCTATATTTTTAGCAAAACTGAAATTTTATAAAACGCAARTTTTAAATAATCTGTTTCTTTTTAGCTAATTAAATTTAGTTATATTTATACTTTGAAGTAGGTGCAAAATGTCATTTTAAGACAACTTTAATTTTCAATCTTTGGAATAGTATTTATTTACACTAGATCCTATACTAAAATAATAAACATTGATATCAAATTTATGATATAAATTGCAACAAGTGAAACAAAATCAATGTAGAGAGCAATTTTTCGTAATAATATTATACCTAATTCTTTAACATTTAACGAATAAACCGTTCCTGTGCATGACGGCCACAGGCCATGGATATTATTTGTCCGGGAGATTACGCTACAGAGATAATAAAACTGTTATACGAGTTGTGTATCAACAGAATGACTAAAACTATTATACGAATTTCGATATATCAATAACAGAATTACCTGTATGTACACCGCATACAATTTTAAATTATCCGGAATTCATGTAAAAACCGATAAACGAAATGTACTGTATTACGGCACTCGGTGTATGCAATAACGATACATGTACGTATTATTGTAGTCGCCGTCGCAAAGTTTTACTAATTTCGGCTTATATCGTTGATATTTTGTACTACATTATTAGGTATAGAATATTTGGTAAGTATTATCAAATTTTAAGTCCCATTAATGTACAAAATGCAACCAAATATTAGACATAGCCTAATATTATGATCTTTGTTGTTCTTTATTAACACTGCGTGGGACTTTTCCGGTTAACACTCAATTTTGTCGGCCGGCAGATCGCGCTACGTTATTAGTTTTATTACATACTTTGCTGTTGCTGTAGATTGTTTTCTGTAATGTTTTGCCGTAGAATTTATTCTAATGTTACATCAAAAACCAATATCGATTTTTTCGAAAACTGATTGTGCGTAAATATTCCCGTTTTTTCCTTAATTTTTAATTTGTTTATCCCGATTATTTAGAAAATAATTTTATACTTTTGACCACCCAAACTCCAAAGTACCAACTAGTTTCCTTTTCTGGTCGAACGAGGTACTGTAATCAAAAATCGAAGCACTTTTACTGCCCCAAATTAAGTAATATACAAACAATACACAATATTAATATATCTATACTTATATTTCCCTGCCCTCGTTTATAAAATTAATTTTAGAGTTCCAAGTTTCTTTTCCAGATACTCTTTCCCTTCCTGGATTCCTTTTAGCCGTTGTAACTATCTAACAAATCGTCATATTGTCCGTACGATGAAACTGATGGCAAATGATGAGGACTATTCCTTAGTAATTATAGCATTAAATTATTGTCCATTCCTTCTTTATAACTTAATATTTGTAATTTAGTAATTTTTCTCTAATTATTATGTATACTTTACAATGTAATTGGGCACGCCCCGTATTTAATAATAAATAAATATACCATKTCTGGCGTAGACGTATAGGTGTATCGTAAATATCTATTTCTTAAAATTTGTGAAATAATTGAAATTAAAATCAACAGTTATATTATAAACTTTTTTCATATACAATACAATTGTTATAGAATCACGTGCATCCATGTTAGAGTAACAAATAACGAGTGAAAAGTTATTGTCACACCGCTATAAAACGTGGAATAAGTGTTTTGTATTATATATTATATAATGTAGACACCAAGTGACTTATACTATAGTAATGGTTAGATATGTACATTGTACAAAATAAAATAACTTTATTATTATATGTAAGTACACTGTGTGGCTGCTGTTCTAATTCAGTGTGGTTCATTATAATAAAACAATAATAATAATATACACTATAATTTTATGCAGAAGACGAAAAAGGGCACACCGCATAAAATATCATATGCATGTACATTATAATATTATATGCGAGCTCACGCGACAATTACAAAACATTATATCTCTTGCCTACCCGTGAATTAATAAGTCAACGTTGGGCGTCTTTTGAGAACGCTTATTAGTCGCGTCAGATATAACTGCAATTTATTACTAATCACTATACCGTTAATCTCAACTCAGCAGACGATCGCACGTGAAACCTATAACATAAACAAATAATATTTAATAATAATAAAATATTTTGTCTATTAAATGCATTAAATTGTTAGTGTTATTATTATATATTATAATTTAAAATTTATTTTAATAATACAACATAATTGAGTACCTATATATATACCAATATATAAATTGAAGGGATGCAATAACGACGGTTGACGATTCGACGGATCGAACGGTTAATCTACAAAATCGGTATGATACACTCTGTTTATATTCTATTATTATAATCCCACAGATATATAGAATCAACTAGATTGCTAACTTACTGTGATACGACATCTATTCTGTATAATTTGCTGAAGCCATTGGCCGCCATTTTAAACGAGGCCAATGTTCATATCACTTGTGTTTATATAAGATAACGTAAAATGATTTTTATTTAATATTTTCTAAAAAATAATTATTATTATTTTCTRAAATCTAAAATAATAAACTAAAATCAAAATTTAACATCTAACCAAATTTTTAATAAAACAATAAAAACTATTACAAGAATTGTATAATATATTACACTGAAATTTAAACTTTATGAAAATTTAAATGCATAAATAATTAAAATAATATATTATATTGAAGTTACTTATTATAAAAAAAAAAACAGTCATTGTCTGCTTTTGTCTCTTATTATCAATATTAACTATGTGTGTTAAGACCCATTGGCTTCTTTTTAAATGGTGGTCGGTGGATGGTAACTTCACGTCTTATCGCAGTCAGCAATCTAGTTTTTCTATATATATATATGTGTATAATCCTCATATAGGTACTACTAACAAATATGAGGAATTGGATCATTATGTATTAAAAAATATGTAAATATTTACATTGTTATTTTTTCCAAAATAAATATTTAATATAGAAAAAATACATATTTTGCATAGTATATTCTATTACTTAATTATGGTATATTTTTAATACTAAATAACATTGAGTTATCAACCAACAAGAATTGAGTAGGTACTGAATTATCTAATTAATTTTTCTTCTACCGTTACTATAGACAATTTTTAGTTTTTATAATTATTGTCCTCTAGTAAACAATTGGAAATAATAAACACATGGAGATATCAAAATTGATTTTTATTTATACCAAGGGAAATATAATATTTCATAATTTTAACGATACTTAAATGTATTTTTTCAAGTTTATTACATTATTTACTTATTAACTGTTGGAGATTTAATCAAATTTCAGTATAGGGGAAATTAATTTTTTTAAATAAAGCTTATACTCATTAATCATTAAACAACATGTATACATACATTTAATATAAACATATAAATTCCAATGACAGTTATAATTATCTAAAATAATGCTTCTATCACAGCAAAAACTAAAAATATTTTAGATTTTTATTGATCACATGTTACATTTCAGAAATCAAAGGTTTTTGTTTCAGGAATACCCATATAATATATTCGAAAAATGGTAAAATCATTTTTGAGGGACGCTTTTTCCCCCAACCAGAATTCTTCGTAAATGCGTTTTGACTATTTTGAGCGTGGGCAAAAGAGAGAAAACAAACAGTGCGCTAATATCCTTTAAATTATTATTGCTCGTTATTAAAATCAAAATAGTTTTTAATGGAAAAGTTCAATTATAATTTGATACTAGTAGATCTTCCTGCTCTACGTGCGATAATGATTGAAGACTGTAAAATAAAGAATATAATTTAGGATGTTTTCAGTACTTACCTATACATAAAATATTACCTAATTATATTGACCTAACATAGGTACTCAATGTATAAGTACTTATTCATTATTGATAAACAAATGATTTATTTATTAATAAAAAGATTAGAATTATCGTAAATATTTTATCACAAAGAAATTATTTTAAAAATTTAAATATTTCAGTGTCACTTTAACTGAAATGTAGGTGCAACTGGATAAGTTATTAAATCTACATTAACATATTACAGGAGATGATAAAATTATAATAGCGTATTATTATTCTACAATTCCCTTATTTGTACGGCCAACAATATTTTTAGATTATTATTATTTATTTACCTATATTATTTTTGTGTATAAAGTAGATAGCATTTAATACCTTATTAGTTATTATACAGTATAAATTCTCAAACTTTGTTTAAATCATTCTGTACTTATATTGAATTATATCATTATTATTTAGATTAGTAGCAATCTACTATTATATTCATTAGTTATTAGTTGTTACTACTTAGCTACAATATTACTAAACTATTATTATAATAAAATATAATATATTATTGAACCATTAATGAAATGTTGTTAGAATAAATATAAAATGTAAAAAACTTATCGAGTCAAAGTTCGCATACGTATGATACCATCAGGTGTCAAAGGTCTGGTGTTTAATTTCCATTCTACCTATTTTTAACATAGACATGTTTACGCATTCCTGCTGAACAGCGACAGTCGTTCGGTCAGACGCTAACTGCTATACTGTACAGCCTGTACATCTTCACTGGTTCACTGCTATATATTACACCTATCCACACGACTGCAACGTCTGAGAAGAAAAAAACTTCTTCTAGTTTGACCTTCGTCGTCAGTTCGATATACGCACACCCATTTATGTGTAGAATAAATGTATAGTGTATACGTTAAAATACCATCACGAGTCGTTCGACTAAACCGGTCTGATACCGATTGATATGTAGTATGTACCCTATATACACATTTAACCATGTTTCACGTCTATAATATTATAAAACGGATACGGATAATGTTAGGTATTGTAATAATATTGTGTCTATACGTACGCCTTCGAATTCACTGATCAGATAGGTTAATAAATTATTCAATTTTAACGATTCTATTGAATGGAATTATGATTTCTAGCTAGTAGCTATAATACTATATAACTATAAATTATAATTATCGCGCGTTGTATAGATTGTTTTTAAAACATCATCCGATCACTATATAATATAATTCGAGCTATATGGCGTATTATATAAATATATTGTTATCGCCAGATATTAATTAATATAATTTTTTATGTATATTATTCTATAATATTATAGAGTAAAGTCCGGGTGCAGTAGAAAACGATGTAATTATTTGGTGTTTTTTGATTAGAACAAATCGATCTCTATTCCACTATTAGTGTGTGTTAATACCAAACTATAGTCTCAGGTAATAATATTATAATATATATAGTTGCATAACAATTAATAGCAACAGTGAACCGATAGCAGCAATAAAAGTGAATAAACTGCAGCAACTGCAACTCGGGCGACGATTTCATGACCTATGTAGTATAAATGCTGGCATAGGTGGGGCGGAAGATGTACGCCGCCGACAAGACACGTCATCAATACTTGGGTAGTCTGGATTTCCTTATAAATAATTACGAGTAGCGCGTTCTTTTCGAATAACTATTCATACAGATGCCCAACTTACTGCTGAGGCGTATGTACATAATATTAAATCAATAATATAGTATAATGTCATAATAAACACTTAAACTGTATATTATTATTTATTAACAATTTCGACCGGTATAAACATAATACCCGAGTCATCGGTTATAGACTTATAGTCGAAAAGAGTAAACAGCACGTCATTATACTTTGATGTCACACATCGGTCGACAATACAAATATAAAACTATAACAAACCATCCGACGGAATATGTGTATTATTTGACTATGTTTAATAATATATGAATACTAAGAAGACCCAATACAATCACCGAACAATTATGCACACATTTAAAAATACAGTTTTCATGTTTGTTAAAATAAAATATTTACATATACCATAGGTACTGTTATATTGTATTTAAGTAGGTAGGGAATTGACATAATGTAATAGGTAGGTATATTAAAAGTTTACTCTAATATGAAAACTGAATAAAAAACTGATGTAACGACCAAATCTTAAATTTTAAAGTGTATTATAGTTAATTCAGTAGGACCCCGAATACAAAGCTTAACTTAAGAACGGAGGAGAAAACCTCCCACAAAACTATTTTATCCACACACGACACACCATACTCACATTTTGTTAATATAATAGCGTTCCAGAAGAACTCATCAAGAGTTAAATAAGTACCCAAACTAATACACTTAGGACTGACTTGAAGACAGACTACAATGAAAGCTGTGCCGTCGCATAGAGCTTCTCACAGTAAAAGGCCCAGTGACCAATCGAGAAAAAAATCAACTTTTGGGAATATATATATTGCTACTTAGAATAGGCAACACTTAAGTCATAATTTTAGGGAGCAAAAAATAATTATCTACAAAAATTTCCATCCGGATGATTTGATTCACTCACTAATATCCGAAATCCTTTAATTAACACTTGATATTCAAAAACAGTAAATTTCATACACCATACAATATCGTCAATATTTAATGGCCATCTTTTAGATTCTGAGCGGAGTAAGGAATGTATTAGTTTTACAATGACGTTTATTTCTTTTTCTTTTTTATTCTGTAAACACTTTTTCTCCCTCTAAACTTGCTCAAAAGTATCAAGTGTAGCATCTTTTCTGAAAGGTAATGTTCTTGAGCTGGTACTTTAAACAAGTCATTTTTCGTATTTCGAAACGGTAATCGAAATAAAAATGGTTTAAGGGTAAAAACGTATAATTTCACGATTTTATAATATTAAATAATTACGGACGACATTTTTTTTTAAAATTATAACAGTATAATTAATATAGCATAACATATTTAAGACTGATAAACCGTCTTCACTCAGAATCGTATTTCGTATTCAATAATATTAATACATAATTTAATTAAAATTTAATACCATACATTACAGTAACCCACTTATAACCTACTCTACTGCAGAGCGACATCCACTTACTCACCCGATTTTTATTTTAAAATTTGAATTAAATCTGTACATTTTGTATATTATAGAACTGCACGATACAGAAAATAATCTTTCAAGTTCAAACTATTCTATAATACTTTGGTATATACTATTATTAAAAATAATTTAAGCTGTAACACCCCACCAAATATTTACCATACCGGTGTCGATAAGTTAGACTTCAGACCTTATCATACAATGGTCCGAAAAATGTATCTGGTAAATCGGAAAAAAGGCGGCTAAAATATCGGTTCCACTATAATAACATTATGTATATTATACAATATATATATATAATTATATATACAAATATATATAAATAAAAAAGATTTTATCTTAAAAATGTTGTCCATATTAATTTTCCACCCTGATACCGTTGACATATTTTAAGCAGTGTTTTTTAGTAAGTTAGTAGTTGATTTTGTTTTTGTTAGGATTTCATTACAACGTTTTAAAATTATAATTTTGTTCTATAGGGGTTGTAGTAAATTGCATTGCGAGAATAAAATATCAATACTACATTACGCGTTAAACATACTATAGGTAGCTACAGTGTTCGAAATTTTTCCTGCAAAACTGTTTTTCGTGATACAACAAATTATAATTAAATTTACACAGTTGTCAGTTACGCACTTACGCCTCAAGAAAAAAAAACCCACGGCAATAAAACAAAACGAATATAAAGCCATAGGTTTTCACTTTATATGCCATGTTGAATTGTTGATGTTATATAGAGTTGAATAAAATAAATATAATATTAAATTTGAATTTTCGGTAACAAGTTATGCCGATATTTTTGCTTGGTACCTATTTATATTATTAAATAATAATACAGAACACAACATGATGCTTTATAGGATTGATTACAAAATATTATATACCGCGGTATTAAACACAACCAGTGACCGTAACGCGCACCGTTGGCCCGGCCGCGATGTCTTAGCTGCAAATACGCTATCATATCAATTCAAGACGTTTCTCAAACCTCAACATTGCGATCGTCATCTCGCCACTGCGCCGCCGTAGCCGTCTTTCGGGTTCAGTGTACGGGAAGCGCATTTTTAACCGAATGAATATTATTACTTATTATTATACGGTCAGCGTGCAGAACTGCGGTAGTGGTAGTGGTAACGGTGTAGGTATACGACATGATATATATATATATATTTATATAATTTATAGTAGCCACGCCGGTCGTCGTACCGGTGCAGATAATAATAACAAAACAACTCGAAGGCAGTGCGTGCGCGTCGGTCGTCGTGTTCAGGTTTGTGTTGCTTATTATTTCTTGTCTCGCCTATCGTTTCGCGCACGCCTAACATATTATAATATTATAATATTGATAGGTGCTAACGTAATTCGTAGCCGTAGTTAACAGTTGTACACGAAACTGCGAATAATCGAATATATTCGTAGGTACATGATATTCGCCAATCAACGATCTTCCAATAATATCTGTAATTTTATCTCCGATGTATTTAAATATTATTTATTCATTTTCGTAATCCGTAAAATCGTTCGTCTGCATCAGCCGCTGCAGTGCCCCACATCTCACCGATGGCGTTGTCGTCCGATCGGACCGCAGCTTCGTTCCCGCTGCTGTTTCTGCTGCCTCTGATTCTGACATCGTCGCCGTGTTCGGCCGCTGCGACGGACAGTGGCAGACTGTTTCCAGCCGGCGTCCAGTACGAGTACGATTTGACGACCACAGTGCTAGCCGGAGGATCTTCAGACAACCGAGATCCGCCGGTTGGCCATCGGGTGGTCGGCCAACTGTTGGTCGCCAATCTCTGGGCCGCTACCGATACTGCCGACGACAAACTGCTGCGGCTACACGTGAGTACCTGTTGATGCATATAGTATTTATTTTTAAGCTGTACGCTACCTACTAACTATTTTATTTTTAAAATTATACAAATAAAATTCATAATACATTCTTGCACTCAGGTCCCCAAAGACAATTTACTTACAGAATGCAATTAAAAACAAATAAATACCATTCATTAATCTTGAACAAACATTTTTTTTTGGTTCAACTTTAAATTTTAGGTCTGAAGAAAAATACAAGGAAAAATTACAATATATACATAAATACAGGGTTGTAAAATGTTATATATGCGAGATACATATTATTATAACATATTTTCTATTTATTGTTGTCCTAATTTATTTTTACTGTAGGTAGGTAATATATGAATTACTTATACACACTGAGGTAAAAAGTATAAAGTGGTTTAAAGTTATGATCACTGGTTAAATTTCAAAAGACAAAAACGTTTCCTTATACATTTTCCGTTATATATTTTCTAAAACGCAGATTTTCTAGAAGTTTCATATTCTAAAATATAGATTTTCTAAATCTTGTCTTTCTAAAACTTGATTTTCGAAAACACGCACCCAAGTCTATTTTATAATATACTGAAAATATCACCAGTTGACAGTTACTAATATTCAATGGTGACGTGAAATCGTATCGATTAATTGCATACTGCAGGGGACTTATTATTATCAGCTATACCGCCGTGTAACTATTTTGTTATAAACTAACCTTTTTTTCTCGAGATTTTATTGCAACCTATTGGTATAATTTACTACAAATTTGTATTTGTGTTAAAAAAAAAATTTGAAACGGTCATTCAAAAAAAACGTATTACTACAAGATACTAATTAGTAATAACTAACTAATGAGATTTTAAATTATAAATAGGTGTTTTAAATACTTAAACTGTATAGTTGATGTAGAGGTATACATTCTACATCACAATGAAAAAAAACTCAATCATAAATACTCGTAGTAGCTCGTATGAATGGAAGTTCATGCACTTAATCTATCATAAAGTAGGTACGCCTTTAAGCACAAAAAAAAATAATAATCATAATTCTTTTTCAAATAAAATTTTTTTTAAATTGCTTTTATGCTTATCTTATTATTATTATATTATATAGGTAATGTATAAAAATTAAAAATATATACTTATATTTAATTTTAATTTTATATTTCTGGCATATTGGCAATGATTTCAATTTTCGACTTAACTAGTTATATACTTTTTTGGACTTTAAAGTTTAAATTAAAATTAAAATAAAAAACCCATTTTTTGACCTAACTTAATAATATATTTAACTATAGCTCAAGTCGCTCAAACTTCAAACGTGGTCCAAGAAATCAAAAAATGTTATTAATCGACAATTTATCGACCGTAAATCAAAGATCGATAGGTTTTCAGACCAACCGTTTTTTGTACACTGGAGGAATGGTCACGTAGAAAATCTGTATGTCTCTTCTGCTAATTCATTGACTGAAGGAAATTTTAAAAAAGGAATCGCTGGCCTCTTTCAGGTACATTAAAAAAAGAAAAAAGAAAACTAGTAATACTAATGATTCTAAATAAATTATTCTCGCGTAGTTTCAATTGTCAAACCAACGCGTAGTAGAACATTCAACACTCGGAGAGTGTAACGTGACCTATAACAAAATTAACGAAAATAGTGTTTCAAAAGTAATTGATGGATGTATTTTACCAACAACACTGCCACCTGAAATAAAGCATCCTGACAAAGTAATATAAAACTAGTAATTATTATAATATATGATAGACTGACCTCAAAGATTTTTGTTTGTATCGAATGTATTTCGCTTAGATTTGGCAAGGAACTTTACGCTCAAAACGCGAAGGCTTACTAATTTACAACCATGAATCCTTAGTTGATGTGTCTTTGGACGAAAGTCACGAGTTCTATACTGTCTTTATGAATGAGGTAGGAGCTTCGGTATCATCAAAACAACACATAAAATTCAAAGGTATTTGTAAAAATAAGTTTTGATAGCAACACGTGAATTAATTATTAATCAAAATAATACTATTTAATAGAAACCAAACCAAATGACGATATCATTGAAGCTAATACTTTAAATGAAGCAGTTCATCAATTAGAAAAACAATTCAAACTGAAACTCGAAAAGCAAAATTTAAGTCCAAAGCACGAAGTTAAAAATTGTAAACACTACAATTCTTGTAATAAAGTAAGTAAACCAAATAAGTACTTTGTTATAATAATATAATATAAAAAATAAATTATTTTAGATATTTTTTATTTTAGTTGGAAGAAGTGGTTAATAACTACCACGATTCTTTATTGGATTCAGAACTAGGAAAGTCCAAATCAGCTTATGGTGCGATTAAAGTAATGAATGCTATTGTAAATAGCGACACAAAAACTATTAAAAAAGTATTGACAGATAAAAAAAATGAGGATATAGTGTAAGATATTTTAATCTAGCTTATGTTGTGTATCTAAACCTGTATATATTAATTGTATTACTTTTATTTTTAGGGTTCAATTATATGATTTATTAGGAGCTGCATTAAGTGAAAATTCACATAAAGCCTCAATGGATACACTAGATTTTACTGATGTTAAAAGCGTCGAAAAAATAGAAAGATACTTATGGAGTGCATCTATAAATTTCAATCCAAAAATAGAAATCATAAAAAGTAATATACCTATACTCGAATCCAAGATATAGCTTATTGAATTTATTTCGACATTAATGATTTAAATAGGTTTATTGTCAATCAATGATGAGAAAATATCTAATAAAAAAATAATGGACACCTTATTTAACACAGTGACCGCTATGGCTAGTCGTTTGGCTCGTTACAATCACACGGATACAAATGTTCTCGTAAGTATTAATCGAATGTTCATTCACATTTAGATTTATTATTTAGTGAGACATAAATATATAAAACATTAAAAACTCGTAAATTTATTTTAGCTTAGCAGCGAACTAGTCGTCAAAACATTGGAAAGACTGGAAAAATGTAAATTAGACGACGACGAATGCATACTAACATACATCAGAGCGTTGTCTAATCTCAAACATCCGCTGTCAGTTGAAATGCTGTTGACCTTTGCACAACACGGAAACAGAAAGTAATAACTTAAAGGCAATAATTCTAAAGGGGGAAGGATTGTATTAAGTTTGAAATTTATCAAACTTATCATGAACAATAATGTGACAACTATACAATAGTTCCAATAATATTTATATAATACATTATTGTTTTCAGGACTAGCGCATACGCGATGAAAACGATTAAAATGTTTGGTCCTGGTTTTTGGGACAGTCGAGTGCTGAAATATTGCAACAGAATTTTCTTTCAGCTGGTCAAAGAGCAGGACAGCAGCACCAGGACAATAGCACTGGCCATACTTCTGGAGTCTGATCCAGACTATGACCTGCTGAAACATGTAGTTAAATGGCTTGCGGCACCGGGCGAGGGATACGAAATCAAACAGTACGCGTTGGAACTATTGAAGGAAATGGCTAACCAGTGAGGCATTTGAAAGGTTCTTAAACGTATTAGACGCCCATATAGACGTATATAATAATAATGTTAGCGATCTATAATATTCAGAGAATAAAACGAATTCGAAAAGTTTAAAAATATTATGTCTCCATGAGTGCGTACCTATCCCTGAAAAAAACCTTAAGTCATAACCGTAGATGTTATTTTACGTTTTATTTCTAGAAACGAGACATCAGCGAAATTGTTGCGGACGGTGTTAGTTCGTGAACGGTTGAACCACTACGGCAGCATGGCTCAAAGAGGCTTGTCGTCATGCTTTTCAAGAAAATTAATTAACTACAACAACATCACCGGACTGGTGAAAAACTCTCAACAAGTATATTCGGGAGTAACCAAACGCGGGTCGGTAGACATCGTCTTGGAACATAATAACATTAAATACGACTTGTGTAGTGTAAGTTCTTCCATTATAATTTATAATATTGAAGCATCTGTAGCTATCTTAGAATATTATATTCCTCAAAATCACAAACATGCCTAACTTAATCCGTGTGGTTTTATCTTCAAAAAGTAAACAAAATTATTTTGTATCGGTTAGGTCAGGTTAGGTTTTTAATTGGACATTTAAATTTAATTAGGTATTTAAAATTAAAAAATTCATAACATTCCAAACATTTTACATTTGTAATCAATTTGACAACAATAAAATTACTCTAGTATAATTTAACTGTTGTTTACTGATGAACTTGGTCGAACGTATTTTCAAATTTTTATTTTAAACCGTACTACTGCAAGTACCTAAATGTTTGCAAGGCTGTATATTGGGGGGGTTCACCCCCACCCCTCCCAAAAATTTGTTCCAGCTACGGCCCTGAATGTTTGTTACGCATACATTTTGATATAATGCTTTAACTTAATGACATAGGTAGGTAATAATATATACATTATATACTAAGTCGTAGTGGAAATGTGGGGGGATATATTGTGGCCGTCAGCCAGCCGCAACGGCAGACAGGTAGCAGCAGCACGTTACGGCAATGAAAAATAAAATTCAACAACGTAAACATGTTTACGGAAAACAAAAAAAAACGATTTTAGAGAAAAAATACCTATTATGAGATTACATAAAGAAAACAATATTTCGGGGACAACCTCATCGGGATTTTGTTTTATTTCAAATAAACAGCTTGCTGTAAATTAAATAGAAGGCACAAAAACATTTTTTTTTTTTTGCATTTTTTAAACAACTATAACTTTTTTAATAATTTATATTTGATTAAACGCCGATGAGGTTGTTTCCTAAATATTGTTTTCTATAAATTTCATTATAGGTATTGTTGCTATAAAACCATTTTTTAATAGCGTTTCGTTTGATTTTTGTAGACGTGTTTTTTACGCCAAATATTACGGGTATAACGTCCTCTTAATCCTCTCCATATAATGCTAGTAATTAATGAGTGCGATACTCACACTAATGCAGATTATTTCATTACGTTTTTATAATTAAGATATGCCGTGTGTATTGTGTACCTTTTATTGTAATTATTATGACATTATGTATAGTAATATCGTTGCAGTTCGGCATGTTCACAACCGGACTCGGGTACTTTACATCCCTGTATGACGATTCGGGCAAAACAGACTCGTCCGACGAGGCCAACTTACCGGCCACAGCGGGTCTGGAACTCGTAGTATTCGGCGTGCATATCAGACCATTCATTATGTTTTCTAATCAAGGGCAGTTAATGGGACACGTTTGGGCTGGAACCGGGTCAGACAAAACACCCATCATTCAGGTACATATTATAATATTAGGTATATAGTTTCAATTATATAGAATCAATGATTATCAGACGGTGCCTCCAATAAGTGCAGGGTTCAGTCTCCCCCACCCACCCAAAAAAAATAAATACCTACCTACTATAAAACCATTAAGATAATATTAACTGTTGGCTTTGAACAATTAAATTTGTCAAGTAGGTACATAATATAATTCTTCAAATTCAATATACCTATGTAATGCTATTGCAAAATAAATATAAATGATTTGTATAGGCAAATAAAAAACCATTT